AGATAGATAGATAGATAGATAGATAGATAGATAGATAGATAGATAGACTGTCTGTCTATCTAAGTTCCTGACACATCGAGGTGCAGTTTCAGGGTAGTGTGTCTCATTTCTTAACTGAAACACATTATAAACTTTCACCACCTTGTTCTTCTTGTTCTCAGTCATTCTCTCTCTGGATGAAGCGGAAGAACACACCGAGTGATCACAGCTTGTGTTCATTCATCACTTGAGGAAAAGATTGAATGAGAAGATGGCTTGATAAGACTGTCACAGACACTCCTACATCCGAAACTCTTCCTACCCAGGTTAACCACGTGCCCCGTGTGCATTAATGACACGTCAGACAAATCACAACACTGAGTCGTGTGGGGGGTAGCTTGTGAATGGCCTTTGCCACCGTCCAGACAAGTCAAGGGAAGACTTGGCAACACACTATGAACCAAAGCAGGGTTTTTATTTCCTTTAAACCACGTTTTTAAACATATTTCTGGCAAACGATAGTCCCGGCTCCCCGACACTTCCTGGGGGGAAACCCCCTTCAAAACCCAGGAATGCTGCTTGGACACAGGGATGCTCGGCTGTTTCGCAGGGAACGTCTTTGTCTTGCGTCTTTTGACAGCACCGGTGAACACAAATTTCGACAATGTCCCGGTGCTTCTGTCCACACAACACACATGCTGCGAAGAGCTTCAGGCTGAGGAATGGGCCTGTGCGGGGTTTCTGGCTTCTTCACCCCGACCAGTTTCACAAGCACCCAGAAATCAATGGCCGCTCCCAACCCATCTTATCCCGGACATCAACGCATGGTCGCGTGCAGCTGGAAGCTCTGGGGCTTGCCGCCACTGTCCGTGAGGGAGGGGTCTCCATTGCTCTTGCAGCACAGTTGAAGCCTGGTTTCACCCCGTGTCACTGCCCCTGGCAGGAAGTTGAAGTGACACTTGGGTGGTGTAGAAACAGAATGGGGAGGGGGGGCAGGGATGAGGAAGGTCGTTAGCTGAGCAGAGAATGACAGAAGAAGGCCCAGTGGCTGGATATTATCACCAGACAATTTCCAGTTAGAAAAAGGCGCCATTGCCCGGCCGAGAGCGAGAGGCTGAGAGATTAGCCATGCAGACGCTCCCACCTCTTGATGGCTTCGAATCCAGCCTGGATGGACACCCCAGTCCAACACACGTGGCTGGGCTCCACACAGGCAAGCAGGGTGCTATGCGCTTGGTCAGAGTTCAGGATCACAACAGTCCCTTCTGCCTTCCAGACCACGGATCTATTCATCTGCTTCAGGGGCAAAAGTGTCGCGACTGCTGCAGCAAGACCTGGCAAGAGGGCTCCATGAGGCCCTGGAGGTTTTTCGCCTTCCCCCGTAGCATGGGACACGGGTCACGTGCTGGAGGATTCTCTGCATCTTGGGGTCTTTAACCCATCATTTGAGGAGTTCAGTATATGAGCTACAGGTGAGAGGATTATTCCGGGAGAGGGTTGGTGAGATTCTTTGGGCAGCATTGTGCAGACTAGATGATCATAATGGTCCCTGCTGACCTTAAAGTCTCTGAGTCTATGAGGTGAGAATCCCAAATCAGAAACAAGGACCCAAACTCCACAGCAGCGGCCGTGAGCCCTCCAAACCCGGCCCAGCCTTCACCCCTCTGCAGGCCAAGCTAGACTGGTCTGGGTCCCTCGTTCCTGGCCCAGTTCACTGAACTCCATGGACTGTGCCATTTCAGCCACCCACCTATGTCGCCAGCCAGAGAAGACTTGAAGCTACAGCAAAGGGTTCGGCCAATCCACAAATGCCAGGATTGGTTTTAAAAAGACAAGAGAAAAAAATCTGTAAAAATGAAGCATCGAGTTGGGGGGCTGGGTTTTGTTTTTTCCAACTGCAAATGCGGTTTTGAAATTTGGGTTTTGTTTCCTCAGTCTTTCACAAGGGGAGGAGGAGAGGATTACGTGGCCCTGCAATGAAGGAAGGTTGGGGATATTCCAGAAAAGAAGATGATTCAAACAAGGAATGTAAGGGGGTGTTGGTAGAACCGGTTCGGGTTGCTACACACCAAGTCCTCACGCTATCCATCCAGAAACCCAATTCCAGCAACCGCAGCTCAGAGATGCTATAAAAGGCCTGGTTCCACAGTGCTCCACAATCCACTTGGCTTCTGACTGCTTCTCCGTCGCTCAGTTGAATTGGGTAAGTGTCTCTCTTCCAGCTGAAGGCTCCCTTTGTGGTGGTCATTATCTTCTGGCCCTCGGTTCGGTAGAGATCTATTTCGGATAACACTTGTGTTCTTTGTGTGGGCTTTATTGCTTCTTGCACTTGTCTGCCAGCATTGGTGACTGGCATTAATTAGATTCATGTCAGTGCTTATGAATCTTCAGCAGGGATGCACCCGGGGCATACGGCACGTAACACAGACCTCTGTGTTTTGAGTTAAAGGATTGAGGCCCTGTGTAGAAAACAATTTACACTCATGCTTAGCCTTAAGAAAGAGATTACATTCCTTCCTTCTCCATTAAAGCACTTAAAATTACAGCTAAGCCAAATACTGATTTTTTATTTATTTTTTTTGTTGGCAATTCCAAAAACATTTGGAAAACTGGTTTGGGGTTGATCAGGGAACAAAAGATTTCAAAATGTTTGGTGGCCTGAAAATGTGAAGAAAACAACGTGGGGTTGAACGAGGTTTAGCTGTTCAGTGTGTAACTGTTTATCGTGTTTTAAAATAAAACCGAAGGACAGTGCACAACCCCCGAAGGCGAGTTGGTGACATTCACATGGGGAGTCCTAGCCAGGCTGAATTCTTACAGGACTCTTAGCAGAGAATAACTGACGCCCCGTGAATGGTAACAAAGCAGAAATTGCTGGATTATTTTCTCTTAATCCTGCTGGGAACAGTCAACTGACGACAAGTAAGAGCCTATGTAATGTATGCCAAAGTACGCAGAGGCAAGATTTAGCTTGCGATTTACCAAGGAGTCCAAATTGTGAGATTCGAGCAGTCAATTCCCTTGGGCATGTCTGGAAAATCCCATCCTGCAAGAAGGTAAACTCCTGGAGGATTGTCCCATGTTCACCAGGGCTGTGTTCTTCCTTTCCTTTCAGGTTGACCTGAATCGTAGAAAGATGCCTCACCATCAGCAGCAGTGTAAACAGCCCTGCCAGCCACCTCCAGTGTGCCCTCCGCTGTGCCAGGAAACCTGCCCAACCCCCAAGTGCCCGGAGCCGTGTTCACCCAAGTGCCCGGAGCCGTGTCCAAAGCCATGCCCAGAGCCCTGCCCGGAGCCCAAGTGCCCGGAGCCCAAGTGCCCGGAGCCGTGTCCTCCACCCCACTGCCAGGAGAAGTGTCCTCCACCCAAGTGCCCGGAGCCATGTCCTCCACCCCACTGCCAGGAAAAGTGTCCTCCACCCCACTGCCAGGAGAAGTGTCCTCCACCCAAGTGCCCTCCTACACAGAAGTAAAACTGAAGTGCTAGCAGCCTTCATCCATGCATCCACAGCTAACAAATGTCCAGCAAACCAAGAAGAGCCTACTTGCAACCAAATTCACACCTGTTTCTCCCCCTTTCTCCTGAACTTGACTTTGGGGAGGGGGCATAATTTAGAGCTCCACTCATATGTTGTATATTAATTCTGTCATTAGTATCCTTTGGAGACTGGTGTAGTCTGCAATCAACTGTACCCCTGAAATATTGGCACTTACACCCCTCATAGCCATTCCATATCATGTACTGGCCCTGATATTGCAGTACATTCATTCTCCTGTTTTCCATTCCATCCTTAATTGTAAACATGCTGGAATAAAACTTATAATTTATGTTATCCACTGTCTCCTAGTGTTTCCCTTGCCGTCCGGATCTGTACTTTATTGTTCTTGGCTATCCAGACAGTGCTACGGCTCCCATCGCTGTATTATCTGAGCTCCTCATATTGCTCAATTTACTCTGGCAGCTTAACCAAAGCAGAGAAGTGTTATAACTAAGGCAGTTGGGAAACTGATCTCCAGAGAGATCGAGTGACTTGACCAATGTCTCACTGGCCAACTGCAGCAGATCCAGGTCTAGCCCTCTGAGACTTTAGGACTCAGTTCTGTAATTTAACCAGACGACTGTCCTGGGACCTATTTGCCTCTCTTTCTCTCTGTCTCCTAGGAGATAGGTAAGCAAACCTGGAAAACAAAATATTTTCCACTAAAGTTTTTTCAAAACGTGTCCAAATTTCACAAAAATGTATGATTTGTGCTATTCCAATTTAAAAAGACCTAAGCAAACTGAAGACCATTGAGATCATGAGTGCTGGATTTTCATCAGAATCCCAGGAAGAAATTGATCAAAAATAATTTTCCACCTACATTTTCACCATAACCTCTCATTTCACCAAAAACTATTTCTGTGGATAAGTTTGACCAGTTCCAGTTCGGGGCTGCGTCTAGACTGGCATGATTTTCCACAAATGCTTTTAACGGAAAAGTTTTTCCATTAAAAGCATTTGCAGAAAAGAGCATCAAGATTGGCACTGAGGCTTTTGCGCAAAAGCATCCGTGCCTATCTAGACGCGGTTTTGCGCAAGAAAGCTCTGGAGGCCGTTTTCGCCATCGGGGCTTTTTTGTGCAAACAGTTTTTGCCTGTCTACACTGGCCCTCTTGCACAGTGTAG